GGTGATACTCCCATGTATCTGCTACCCTTGTCCTTCTAGATTGAAGTGTCATGGGTTTGGAAGGTGTTGTCTGAGGATCGTTGGTGAATTACTGTGTGCATCTTGTGGATAGGACATACTGAAGCAACTGAGCATCAGTGGTGAAGGGAGTGGATGCTTGTGGACGTAGTACCAATCAAGCAGGCTGCTCTGTCCTGAATGATGTTGAGCTTCGATGTTTTTGGGGCTGCACTCATCCAAGCAAGTGGGGAGTATTCCATCACACTCGACTTGTGTCTTTTAGGTGGTGGACAGGATTTTGGGAGTCAGGAGGGGTATTACTCACTGCAGTATTCCTAGCCTCTGACCTGGCTCTTGAAGCCTCTGCACTTGTGGCGAGTTCAGTTGAGTTTCTGGTCAAATAACCCCCAGGATGTGGATAGTGGGGGAATTCAGTGATGGTAACATGATCGAATGCCAAGGGGTGTGGTAGATTCTCTTATCGGTGATGGTCACAGCCTGGCATTTGTGTTGCATGAATGTTATTTGCTATGTGTCAGCCCAAGCCTGGTACTATTGCATTCTAGGTCTTGCTGCGTTTGAGTATGGACTGCTTCGGTTTGAGGAGTTGCGAACAGCGCTGAACATTGCGCAATATTCACAAACATCCCCACTTCTGACCTTGACATGGAGGGAAGATCATTGATGAAGCAGTTGAAGATGGCTGGACCTAGGACTCTACCCTGCGGAACTCCTGCAAAGATGAACTGGAGCCGAGATGACTAACCTTCAACAATCACACCATCTTCCAGCTAAGTCTCCAGCCACTGGAGAATCTGCCCGATATCCATTGATTTCAGTTTTGCTAGGACTCCTTGAGCAACCTGCTGTCAAGGGCTGTTAATCTGACCTCATCTCTGGAATTCAGCTCCTTTCTCTATGTTTGAACCAAGACTGTAATGAGGCCAGAAGCAGAGTAGTCATGGCGAAACCCAAGCTGGGTGTCACTGAGCAGGTTATTGCTGAGCAGGTGCTGCTTGATAGCACTATTGATGACACCCTCCATTGCTTTACTGATGGGGCAGTAATTGGCCAGGTTGGATTCATCCTGCTTTTTATGTACAGGATGTACCTGGGCAATTTTCCACATTGTCAGGTTGATGCCAGTGTTGTAACTGTACTTGAACAGCTTGGCTACAGGAGCAGCAAGTTCTGGAGCACAAGTCTTCAGTGCTATTGCTAGAATGTTGTCAGGGCCAGTAGCCTTTGCTGTATCTAGTGTCTCCAAAAGTTTCTTGGTATCACGTGGATGAATCAAATTGGCTGAAGACTGGTATCTGTAATGCTGGGTACCACGAGGAGGCCGAGATGCATCATCCACTCATCACTTCTGGCTGAAGATTGTTGCAAAAGCTTCAGCCTTATCTTTTGCACCGATGTGCTGGGCACTTCTGTCATGGAGGATAGGACAGCCTCCTCCTCCACCGAGTTGTTTAACTGTCCACCACCATTCAGGACCAGATGTGGCAGGACTGCAAAGCTTAGATCTGTTCGGTTGGTTGTGGGATTGCTTAGCTCTGTCTTTCACTTGCTGTTTTTGCTGTTTAGCATGCAAGCAGCTTTGTTTGGTGGCTTTACCAGGTTGAGGATGTTGGGCTTGTACTCATTGCAATTTAGAAGACTATGAGGAGACCTTACCGAGAGGTTGCTTTGGTGATATTATAAACTTCAGAACTTTAATAACTGTTTGTGGATCGAATGAATCAAAAGATAAATTGCTACACATGGAAAGCAGCAGTAATAACTCTGTCTGGAATAAGCTAGTAAGGAACAAAGACAAGCTGTTACATCAAGATTGAAAGCAATTAGCCATGTCATGGAAAGGAGGGAGTCAAGATTACAAAGACAAAACTGCTTTGATACCTGCTTTATAGACTGGATACTTTATTGCCAAAAGGTCAAGGATGGTCCTGCAGAAGAATGTAAAGAGTTAATCACAGGAAAGCTGCATCTGTGTCTTCGAACAGACAGTCAAGGCCAAACCTAACAAGGCACTGCGAAGCTACTTCTGATAAGAAGGCAAGCTGCAAGACTTGCAGCAATTGGATGAATGGACTTTAAAAGAATCATCAATATATCACATCACAGATCTGAAGGAGAAAAATCTGTGATACGTATCAAAACACCAGAAGTCTAGCTCTAGCAGAACTTTGAAGAACACTGCATAAGGACTGAACCCTGGACACTTCCAGACAGGCACTGTTGGTGAAATCCAACCAAGTTCCACCATTAATCAGGCAATTGCCAGATTGGGTTGACAGGCTTAACTTATTTACTTGAGGCATCTTATTTTGGTTGCTGCATGCAATAAAGTTTAAATTATTGTTTCAGCATTTGATTGCCTGTGAGATTTCTTAAGTAGTCCAATTAAAGGTGAGTTTACCAACAACAGTTTCTCCTTTTGGTAGGCAGCCATGGTGCACAAGGCTTCAAGCCAACTGCCCGTAAAAAAAAAAAAATCAGTTCCACAGATAACATGGACTTAAGACGCAGCAGCTTTACATTCATGACAATCTGGTAAAAATCAAGGAAAACGTATGCAGCAATTCAGAATTGCACATGCAATTACTAAACATACACTTACCCGGCCCAAACAAACATCTCTCCCCTTTGTCAATTTATCTTTAGAATCAAAATTGGAGAAACAGAACAAGTTCATAGATGATATCCATTTACACAAACCTTCAGGTTCAATGCGGTTATTTGGAGCAAACCATGAGCAACACTGCAATAAAATTCAACTCTATCATCAAGCGGTACACTACCAAATGAACCTACCAATTGTAATGACGAAATCAGAATATAAATGATAACAAAATAAATACAGTAAGCATTAGCAGACTTGAAACATTGACTCTGCTTTCTCTCTCCAGATTCTGCTAGACCTGCTGAGTTTCTCCAGCAATTTCTGTTTTTACGTGGAATATAATGATGATCGCTATATAGATCTTGAACTGCTAGCTCTGAATGTACTCCAAGTCTTGTACAACCAGCAATTTGAATCAGAATCCTTACAGTGTGGAAGCTGGCCATTCAGCCATCAAGTCTACACCGACCTTCCAAACAGCATCTCACCCAGACCCATTCCGCCTATCCTATCCCTGTAATTCTGCATTTTCCATGCCTAATCCACGGACAATATGGGAAATTTAGCATGGCCAGTCTACCTAATCTGCACATCTTTGGACTGTGGGAGGAAACCAGAGTACCTGGAGGAAGCCCACGCAAACACAGGGATAATGTACTAACTCCACACAGACAACTACCCGAGGCTGGAATCAAGCCTGGGTCCCTGGCACTGTGAGGCAGCAGAGTTAATCACTGAGCCACCGTGCTACCCCAATTTGAAAAAAAAACAGATTTGTGTTACCATCTAGTTTTTAATGGTTTCTCTGAACTCCATTAAACATTGTCCAAGCAGCAAAAGTATTCCAATGTGTAGCTGATACTTCATGCAGGTGTAGATAGTATTTTGTCAAATGCTGTCTGAAATCTGCATTACACAGAGATCAACTATCGTAGGATGCAATATTTAAATGCTAAATGAAGGGCAATAGCATACCCTGATCACTCTCCCAAAACCTCTCCTGTAATGCAAGAATAACATTTTCTATCATTATATAGTTGCCAGATGGCAAGTTAGAGTTCTTACACAACTTATTGGATCAGTTACAGCAGATGGCAAGTGGAAGTCCCAAGTAGCTATTAATTGACCACTTAAGGGCCTTATTTGGTGTTCAAGGTAAGAAGGTCACCCACAGAAAATAAGCACTAGGTAAGAGGAGCAAAGTGGTTGGGGGACACATCTCTCTGGGGAGATCACACCCTTTGTTCAACAACTTTGGATTTCTGCACTGCAATTACCTACTTTCAGCCAAGACAGTAATTTGGTCAGCAGACAGCTGTTAAAACTAGGGATTTAGGAGAAGGTAGAAAGAAAAGGATTAGTTGAGCATAAAGAGGTGACTTTAAAGAGGTTTCTCAAAACTGAAAAGAAATCCCCATGGACAGGCAAAGTGGCTGATTGCATTGTCACTGTTGATGGAGTAGAGACAGCAGGTAACAAAACAGAAGGTCAAAACTGGAGAACCAGAGGGTGCATGAAGAAACAGAGGAAAGGATCTGAAGACAATGATGAACTCAATCTTGGATAACAACAGGTAGCTAGTAGACTGTGACCTGTACGGAGATAATGGGAACAGAAGTACACAAACGTAAAAACACTCTGCACTGCAACATTCAAGTAATCAAAACATGGAAGTCAGCATTTCAAATTTTAGAAATTTCCTACTGCAAAATCATAATAGTGTGGATCATGATTTCATCAATGAACAGTTTAGAGAGAGAGAGAGAGAGCGCGAGGGAGAGAGAGAGAGAGAGAAGGTAGTAAATAAACAATAAGCCATGCATGTTTCATACTTCTAGGGAAAGTCTCAATTGACATGGCTTATCACAAAACTCACCCGTCATTCTTTATTTTTACTGACATCACTCCTCCTTCACATCATTCTCCGACCTTATCAGGTTTATTTCCAAATTAATTTCTCTCTCCAGTGTCACCTCCCATCTGCTCTTTCACTTGGCTTTTTTTCTAATCCTTTCTCTCCTATTTATTCTCCAGTTGACACCACAAATGCAGATACTGAAAGACTGCAATGTAGGTTTAATATTGTGTGGCCAAATTAGAGGTGGCAGATTTAACGATGGAACTCAGCGGGTAGAGCACTCAGGTTACAAGTTGACAGCATCTCCAGCCAGCTGTCCGAGCATGGTGAGAAAGATTAGCAGCGACCTAGCAGAGGATCCTGCAGTCTCCTGGCTGATGTCCATGTGAATCTGTACTCCGAAGTGCTTGCTTTATGTAAGAAAAACTTAAACATTGGAACAAACCACAATTCAATCATTTCAAAGCAATCTTAGGAAAACTGAGATCAAATCATAAGAAAAAGAAAGAAATATACCTGACTTTCCTCGTGAGATACTCGCATCTGTTCTTTAAGCACCGACATCCTGGCCGCCTCCTCTTTCCTCAGCACTCTCTCTTTCTTCAGCTCGGGGCTCCAGAAAGTTTTAATGCTGTTCATGGACGATCCCAGCTTGGTGTCTTTAACTTCCAGCTCCTTCCGGAGGATCTCGTTCTCTCGTTGCAGATCCTTGAGCTGCGCTTGCAGATCGACCATGGTGTTATCCCGGACCTGCCTCAGGGTAGAGGGCACTTGGTGGTGGTGGTGATGGTGAGAGGATGGGGTCACCATGCCGCTCTGCTGGTGGTGATCACTGAAAGACAGGGCATCTCCCCCGGGAGGGAGGCCAGCCGAGGCGATGTTGGGACTGCTGCCCATGGCCGTCACTCGCCCCCCATAGGTGGCTCTGTTAGTCGCCCTGCCCAGGGTCATGGTGCCTTTGGGAAAGCTGGTGGAGGCGACTCCCTCATGGTCACTCAGGTACATGGGTCCCGATGTAGCGTAGGCTGCATTCAGAGACTGGATGTTCTCCATGGACAGGGTCTTGCCGGCTCCGCCGGTCCCGCCGCTGCTTGTCCTGCGGTGTCCCAGGCGAGGTGAGCGGGGAAGCCGGGGAGACCGCGATGGGCTGCCTTCCACGTGGCCCACTGTCCTGGAACTTCCGTACATGGCTCTTGTCTGAATCAAAGACGGTGGCGATGATAAGAGGAACTCGACCGCCGTCAGCCAACGCCTTTCCTTGTGTTGCCTGCCCGAGCTTGTTACCGCATTTCCACTCTGCTGGGGGAGAACGGCTTGCCGTCAGATCTAGAAGATATGTTAATAAAACAATGTACAGAATCATTCACATTTATCATATTTAAGGAAGCAGGTGAAAAAAAAATCAGGGAATAAGTCCAAATCCAGATTTATAGGGAAACAAAAACCGATAAACTTCCTTCGAAAATATTCCCACAAATATAAATCGATAGGCACTGAGAAATGTAACATGTAAAACTAACATCTCCACAAGAAAGTGCGTGAACTGATAATGTACTTGTTAGAAACTAATCAGCTGAAGATATTTCTTCACAAAGGGCTGTTAATCATTTCCAATGTACCAAATTGTTCCTATCAACTACTGGCACTTTTCTGTTAATTTGTATTTTTGCTTCACCTTCAGAACAATGGTTTGCAAGTATTTAGCATTCTAATGGTTAATGTGAAGCGCCAGAAATATTGCTCAACATAAGTAATGACTAATGTGATTAAATAATTGGAGTTAGGCGAGTAAAGACGACCTCCAACTTCCAGTCCAGTTTGCATTTCTTGCAATTCTGGGAGGAATGTATTTACATTATCTCTCTCCTTTCACCCTCCGCCCCCATCAATGTTTCTGACTCCTTAGGTTTCTCTTCGCTCTTGGGCTATCTTGTCTTTTGGTTTCACTCCTTTGGGCAAGTGAAGGCAGCAACACTTGCAATAACAACTTGTATTTCTATGGCACCTTGAAAGGTAATCAAACATTCCACGGCATTTCACAATACCACGTAAAACGAACATTTGACATCATGCCACAAAAAGAGTTCTTGGAGCGAACAGCCAAAAGCCTGGTCAGACATTTGATGGAGGGACATAAAAAGTAGTAGAGGGGCTAGAGGAATTTATGCTGCAATAGCATGTTTATCAGGAATATTGACAGTGGAGCTGAAAGAGGCTAGACTACTTAAAAACTTGACAAGAATTAAGACTTTACTGAAATGAGAGCCAATGTAGACCAGCAAGCTGAGAGGTGATGGATATGAAGGGCCTGGTTCGTGTTAGGACACAGGCAATAGACCAGCTAGATCAAGAGGTCTGAAACCTCCTCATTCAACAACCACTTTGGACACTGATGAAGGCAATAATTCAGAGGAATGTAGCAAGATCCAAGCCTGTGGCACCACAAATGTACATATGGGGTGAATGAAGAGTGTAAGGGCAATAGTGATAGTGATACCGATACCTAGCTAAGAGATAGATAGGTGTTTCTGTGATAGTAGACATGAATTCAGGTTGCTATGTACCTTCCCTGTGCCAGGGTCAAGGATCTCAGAGTGGCTGCAGGACATTCTTTTGAGTGAAGAGTCAGAGGTAGTGGTTCACATTGGCACCAATGACAGTTGGAAAGAAGGATGAGGTCCTGAAAGTACAATTTAGGAAGCTAGACATTCTGAAAGGCAGTACCTCCAAAGCTGTAATCACAGATGACTCTGAGCACCACGTGCTACCTAGCAGGGAAATCAGAAGCTTCAAAAAAGACATACGGCTAAAAATTTGGTGGGGGAGTGAGGTCTTGAGATTTCTGAGGCTCTAGGACTGGTTCTGGGAAATAGGTTACACCTGAACAGGACCAGGACCAGCATCTTGATGGAGAGATTTCCTAGTGCACTTGCTTGCCACAGGGACAGGAACAAGAGATAGAATTCAGATAGAATGAAAATAAAGCCAATTATGGAAAATAGAAAAGCTGGAAATGAAAATGGAAAGCAGAAGCAAATCAGAGAATCAACTAGGCTAAAAAAAAAAGGCATAATGAAAAGCACAATCTGCATGCACACAGCATTTGCAACAAGATGGGTGACCTGATGGTGCTACAAGTAAAGTGTATGATTTAATTGGCATTACATAAACATGGCTACAGAGTGACCAAAACTGGGAACTGAATATTAAAAGGATATTCAAAGAAAAAGAACGTGGGATTGTGATGATAACAAGGGACGGAATCAATGTGTTAGAGATAGAGGGAATTTCCAATGAGAGAATCTAATCATGGTCCTTGACATTCACTGATGTTACCATCATTGAATCCCTCACTAGCAACATCCAGGGATGACCATTTACCAGAAACTCAACTGGGCTCACCACAAATGCAGTGGCTACAAGACCAGGTCAGAGATTAGGAATCTTGCAGCAAGTAACTCATCTCCTGATTCCCTAAAGCCTGTCCACCATCTACAAGGCACAAATTCGGAGTGTGATGGAATATATCCCACTTACCTGGATGAATGCAGCTTCCAACATCAAGAAGCTCGATACCATTTAAAACAAAAGTAGCTCACTTGACTGGCATCGTATTCACAAACATTCCCAACACTAAGCAGCAGTGTGTACCATCGCCAAGGTGCACTGCAAAAGTTCACCATGGTTCCTTAGACAGCACCTTCCAAACCCACAACCATTTCCATTTGGAAGGACAAGGGCAGACGATACATGGGAATACCACACCTGCAAGTTTCCCTCACACCATCTTAACTTGGAAATATATCGCCGTTACTGGGCTAAAATCCTCAAACTCCCTCCCTAACAGCCCATGGACTGTCGTGATGGTGAGGTGCCTTCTTGAACCATCTTCTCAATGGCAATTAAGGATAAGCAAGAAATGCTGGCCTAGCCAGTGTCACACTCACCCCACATTTTTTTTTCCAGAAATGATTGGATAAAGCTAAGCAATGTCAAAGGGTAGCAAAGAGTGGTTTATAACAATTGTAATATTGTAGGGCAGAGTTTAAAATCCAGAAACTTAAGGTGCACGTAACAAGGGGAATACAATAATCTGGATGACTTCAAACTACATTTTGAGCAGGGTAAATCTACTAAGTACCAATGCCATGGAGGAAGAATTTTTAAAATGTGTTCGAGGAGAATTTTAGATTTCAGGAAAGGAGGACCAAGAAATTAACAAAGAAAAAGAATAGAGTATCAATTGTTGGTTCCTCAACAGATTGCTCAAGAAAACTAAGGCACGGGATATTTTGATCTGGTATAATGCAAATAAGAAAGAGCCAATTAACAATCTTGTTGCACAAGAACCTTGAGCGAATAGTGGGCATAATATGATATCTTTTTCAAACTTCTTGGAAAATTCTGTCTTTTAATCTGAAACTAAGGTCTTAAATCTAAATAAGGGCAATTGTGAAGCGGAGGAGAAAGATAACTGTGGTAGATCAGAGAAAATAAATTAACATTTGACAGCTTACAAAATTCATGCTTGGTTTGAAAAAGCAATTCTTTCAAGGCAAAAATATCCAATAGAAGAAGTTCATCATGACTTACTAGGGAAGTTAAAGTTAGTACTAGGTGAAAGAGAAGGTTTATAACATTTTCAAATAAAAGTTGCAGACGTGAGGAGAATTTTAGATTTTAAGAAAGGAGGATCAAGAAATTAACAGAGAAAAATAATAGAGTATCAATGTATATCACAAAACCAAAAACATATTACAAAAGCTTCTATAGGTGTGCATAATGGAAAACATTAGCAAACACAAGTCTGGGTCCATTGCAGGCAGAGACTGGAGAATTTATAACAGGAAAGAGAAATGGCAGAGAAGCAAAATAATTACTGTGTGCCTGTCTTCAAAGGAAAACATAATTAGTAGTCTGTCTGAAATACAAAAGATCCAACAGTCTGGTAACAGTGTGGAATTGAAAGAAACTCATGTTAGAGAAATTAACAAAGTTTACAAATCTCTGGGAGCTGATCACCTTCACCCTCAAGTGTTGGAAGAAATAGCTAGAGTTAGTGAATCCATCTTCAAAATTCTGTTAATTCTATAGCAGTGCCTGTAGACTGTAAAATTTAAAATGGAGAAGGAAGAAAGGGAACTACTAAGCTGTTAGCCTATGTCAGTAGTAGGGAAAGTCCTAGAATCTGTTGTAAAATGCTAGAATCTGTTGTAAAACATGGGATTACTGAATATTTAGAAAATAATTGACTAATTGGACAGTCAACATGGATTTTTGAAAGGGAAAAGCGTTTTTTGAAAACCTGATCATTTTAAAGGATGTTACTAGCAAAATTAATAAAGGAAAAACTAGTGGAAGTGGTGTATTTGAATTTTCAGAAGGCTTTTAATAAAGTCCCACACAAGATACAAGTAAAAAAGCTAAAGTGCACGAGATCAGGTAAAGTAGACTAGTTTGGATTGACAGATATTCCACTGTAATTATTGAACTCAGTTAAACAGGTGCAAACAGTATGAATAAAGTGGTTCATTTTCAGGGGGTTGGCAGGCAGTGACCAGTGCAGTACCATAAGGACACAGCTTGGGTCTCAGGTGTTCATAATCTAGATCGATGATTTAAATTTGGGACCAACTGTAACATTTGCAAATCTGCAGATGACAAAAACTCAGTGGGAATGCACATTGAGGAGGAACCAAAGAGGTTTCACTCAGTCTGTATAAATCCCTGTGAGTGGGCAAAAGCATGGCAGATGGATTATAATGTGGATAAGCGCATGGTTATCCACTTAGGCAGGAGGAACAAAGATGCAGAATATTTCTTAAATGGTGAGAGATTAGAAATGTTTATGTTCCAAAGGACTTAGGTATCCTTGTTAAGTCATTGAAAGGTAGTACATATTGTAGGGAACAACACATTAGTCTTTACTATAAGAGGATTTGATTGCAAGAGGAAATAAATTTTGTTTCAATTGTACAGAACACTGGTAAGAGCACAGTATGGAGTACTGTGCTGTGACAATACGAGGACTTTGAGAGGTGTATTTTGTCCTTTTTTTAAATGAAGCAATATTTTAAGGCAGAGGTGAAGAGCTGTCTATTGAAAACTCAAAGTGGACAATTTTTGAGGGCTTGGGTTTTTTTTTAAAAAAACGTTGGAACAACAGAAGCATCCTGAATGGGTGTGGTCAAGCTCCCAAAGAACCAGGACTTTTAGTTTTAGCTTTCAGCAGTTGTTGCTGGGCTCTTAGAGTACGGAAGCTGCAGTACATCTCTTCCTACTACACCCTGTTTTCTCCCAGTGTTTTCCTGCTGCTAAAGTTGCACGTGAGACAATCGGTTTCCTGAATTTGCCTTTTGCCAAAAGGTGCGTTTATGGGATGTTACTATATTGGAGCAGTCAATTAGTAATATTTAATAACCTATTATTCTGTTAATTTTTCCAATAGGAGTTAAATTATTCCAATTTCTTCTTTCATTCATTGTATTTTAACTATCAAGGATGAATAAAGTATGTTTTGCTTTAAATACTGTAATCTGACCAATCAAATTGCATTCAGAACAAAACACCAGAGACTTGCCTTTAAAATAAGAAAAAGTTAGGGTCTAGGCTATCTTCATAAATTTTTTTTGAGGGCGTGTGCTCTGATCCATAATAGTGCATAAAATGGGACCACTTGACCAAGGAGAAATATACTTGCCAGAGAGGGACTGCAGCGGAGGTTCACTCTACTGATCCTTGTGATGGTGGTATTGTCCTGTAGGAAGAAATTCAGGAGAGTGAGCCTGTGTTTTCTGAATTTAGAAGAACGAAAAAGAGAGAGAGAGGCAATTTCACAGAAACTTACAAAATTCTTTAAACAAAAAAAGGGGCCAACAGGAAATGCAGAAAGCATATTTCCATTGGTTGTGGTGTCTGGAACCAGGGGATACAGTATCAGTATCAGGAACAATCCATTTAGGATTGTGATTCACTCAGAGGTTGGTTAATTTTTGGAACTCCCTAGCGTAGAGGGCCGTGAAAGATCAATCATTCACCACGTTCAGGACATTTTCTCATTCCAAATGATATCAAAGAGATATGGATAGTGCCAGAATACAGCATTGAGGTAGATGGTTAGCCATGATCTACTATGGCACAGCACACTCAATAGGCTGAATGGCTTATTCCTGCTCCTACATGCCTATGTCATTGAGGAGCACCACAGAAATGAGAAATAGGAGGACAAGGACAGATCTTTGAAGGATATCAGATGTACTGATCAGAGAACAGGAAGATAAGCCATTGCAAGCAATACTCAGACTATAATCAGACAGAGGAATGGAACCAAATTAACACATTCCCACCCAGTGAATGGAGGAGGAGTGTTGAACAGGATGACATTGTCAACCATGTCATAAGGTGGCTGGCACAGAAAACTTCAAGTGTTATTTGCCTTTGTCACATTCACAGAGAATGTCATTTGTGACTTTAATGTTGATATTGTAACAGGGGTAGAAACCTACAGAATGCAAATAGGTGTGCCTAATCCTAACGCTGTAAGGTAAAATCCTACCTGCCTCCTAATGGTGTCTAAATCATAGAACACTGCCTTTTGGAATACTTTTGTAGTCACAAATGAGCAAGGCAAAACAAGCATTATTACTAAAAAAAAAATGCTTATCGATAGGAAAAAATGCCCAGCAGAAAAGATCTGGTGTGGTCATAGGAACTGCAATTCCAAAACAGGAAAATACATAGCACTATCTTGAACAGGATCGCAGCAACTTGAAATAACCAAATATTTTCAAAAATGCTATGCCCTACCTCAGGTCAGGCTTGAAAATACTGTTAACTGCCGGTTAGAATCTGCAGAGGTAGAGGAGCTGTTGGGACAGAAACGCACGTCAGCTTGATGTGCTCCTGGTCAGAAAACAGATAGCATCATTGATTTTTTTTTAAATTCTCACTACACCACTGAATTTTTAGTTGTGACATTTTTCAAGAGTGCTGTTCACTAATTATGTTCACCTGCTTATCCGTGCACAGTCCACAAGGGATTAATCACAGCTATCGTGAAAATTGGGTCCCATTCAATTCACAAGTCACGCCAACCTATATGTCATTCTCTGAAAAAAAAGAACATCCTTCTTCCTTCATCAATACTTCCAAGAGCAATTCACCTTTCAACTCCTCTCTCCCGAGATCTGTCTAGCTTTTATTTGCTATTTTCCTCCCAACCATGAAGGCAATCTATTATGCTGCTCCACAACCTACTAATAACCTAGTTTTGCACTTTTAAAAATAGTAAATGGCATGCATCTGAATCACAAACAGATTTATTAACACTCAAGTAGGTGTTGCGTTCTCCCATGGCGCAGCATTTTCTTGCAGTTGCAGTTGTCTAAGATATTTTATTAAACTGAGTTTTTGCATATACTTATTTCCCAGAACATAAATCATTCACTCTTCTGATCAATTTAACAGCTAAATAACTGAATTAAAATTTTTAATGACGTATTGAATACACAGTCATTGCATATTTCTTTTGCAAAGACAAAAATCTTGTGTGTTCTGTACAATGATAGCAACTGGGATATCCATATTTTGCCCTTATCAATTATTTAGCATTCCAGTTTTTTTTTCCAGCATACCAACTGACTGCAAGAAGGAAGTCAATTACCAAGACAGGCCCAAATTTTAGATTAATCATGTGGTTTGACATTGCTTTTATGTCTGGGCATATTGAAAAAGTTTGTTATGCATGAACTGATTACTACTTCAAAGTTATAGGCCATATCAGCATCCCACAGGCATTGTTACAGGATGGAGCAAGTCCAAGTTATTAGTCATTACTTCAGAATTTGCAGCAAACAAAATGCGCACTTCTGGGCTTGTTTATAATGTTAAAGCTGGGAATTCCCAATTTAAAAAAAAATGTAAAAAAGTGAAATAATGCTTTCAACTACCTGTACAATAGGGAATTTATGCTACATTTATGCTACAGGAAGAACCACCACTTGGTCTGTAATTCACTTTATGGAATAACAAATCTGTAAGAGGATGTAAGGATAATTTTCCTGAGTGTCTCGTGACACCAATGGCACCGTACAAATGCAAACTGTTGCCATTAGATAATTTTACTGCCTAAGAAGGATTATCTTTACAAAGTTTATGCGTAAAGAACAATTTGGACCCACCAACATTGTTTTGTCATTCCAACAGCCTGAAATACTCTTCTAAAGCATTTAAGAGTTAAGAAATGATAAATCATTGTCCTCAATGTTGAAATTGTAAGAAACAAACAAACAAACAAACAAACAAACAGTAGATGCATCAATTTCCAGGAAGGACAATCTATACAAAAGCAAAATATAGATGCTGGAAATAAAAAAATATGGAAATGGTGAGGTCAGGTAGCATCTGTAAATGGAAAATAATTAATATTTAATAATTATTATTAATAACAGTGACTTTCCATCAGAACTAGTTTAAAAACTAGAAATACAATAAAATGTTAAACATGTGAAAAGGTGGGATTTGGGAAAAAGAAAAAGGAGGGTGTGTGTTAAGGCTGAAGTCAGGAGAGAGTAAAATGACAAAAGAATTGGCGGTACAAGGCCAAAGAGAGTGGTAATGCAGAAAGAAAACATACTAAAGAAAGTATGTAGACAAGACGTGAATGGTACAAGAAGTGAACAGTTCAAGCAAATGGAGAAGGAAAATAATAGACAAACTAGAATAAACACCAGCCAAGAAACTGGAGAGAAATTCCACAGCAATTGCTAAACTCAGCTGAATTCAGAAAGCTACAAAAGTGCCTAATCAAAAGAATTTGTGTGGAGTTTCAGTCGAACAGTACAGGAGGAAAGAGGTTAGCTTGGGAGTAAAAAGGTGGAGAATTCAAATGATAACGATCATTAACTCAGGATCATGCTCACGGTCCCAATGGAGGTGCACCACATAAAGGGGTTACCCAATGTACATTTGCTTTTCCGAAAGTTGGGAAAATGGCATTGTCAGCATCAAATATAGGGTACTAAACTGAAAGAAGTGGAAACAAACCGATGATTCATTTGGGAATTGGATGGAGGAGAGAAGGGGTTAAAAAAAGCAAGTTTCTTTCTCTTACATGGAAAGGCACAGTGAATAAAGTTGTTGTTCAGGGAACGGGCCCTTTGGAAGGCTGGAAGGGGAGGGCAGGAGGTATCTAATGGAGTAGCCAATGTTATTACTAACCAATGTATGGCAGTCCAAATGGGTTTAAAACGGGTTAAATTAGGAGCAGAGAACGAGCTGAATTAATTCAATGTGCAAGATTATCGGATCAGATTTTTTTTAGACAGACAGGAACACATTCAAAATGGAAACACATCAGTGGTAACAACATAAAAAAAGGTAGTCAATGGGTGAAAGGTGAGTCATATAAAAGTGAATAAAATGTTGAGAAAAACAGCAAAAGAGTACAACTTACATATCCAAGGATTTTATACTGAAGATATATCTAGCCTCGAAGGAATTTGAATTGTGTTAAAAGTCAGGATCTGGATATGAAGGAAAATGCTGAATTCTTAGAGGAATACCAGATCACTGCTGTGAAGACAATTCCTGAAACCAAGGGAGCAAAGTTGTCTATCTCGTTGTTTATTCTCTAGAAAAATATGAAAAGGGGACAATGAGAAATATCTTAAAATTTTCAGAACAATATTCTCTTCCACTCAACCCCCAAAAAACATGGAACACAATAACATAACTACTAATAATCTGGCACAGAGGGATAGTGAAGGTAATAAACAGAACTATATTTTGCTAATCTACATCCAATTTATGCCAATGTCTTATTTAACTGTGGCTAAGCCGATGAAAGACATCAGAAAGCACCACAGAATTTACACAGTAACAAAATACAATCCTTAGTATTTCTGTTGCAGAAAAAAAGGAAAGTTGGATGTTAGTTAATTACCAGCTTTGAACCGAATAAAAATCACTGCCCAAGGCTGTGATCTCCCTTTTGATGCACTGTGCTACCAATTGGCAAAAACATGTATAAAAATTTCAGACGTTGATAAAATGGACTCAACAGTAAAAAGGACATATTTCGAGCTAGAAGTTTATAAACTATAGACAATCCTTTCCAAAACCAGTATCCATTGAAATTACTCCCAACTTCCCAAAATAGTCACCATAGTTTAAGTGAAATCGTGATGAGTCAAGCTCAGGCAACACAATTTGGTCTCAACGTTGTGTGCCATTCCTGCCAGCAAAATGACAAATTCAGTCAAATTATGCTCATGATAAATCAAAGTTTCACACAGCTAACTCCAGATTAGTTAAACTTGTTTATACCATCATGTGACCCTACTGATCAATCAGAACAGAGTTGGGCTACATGAGCATGGGAAAATCATGGAATGCTGCACAAGCCATCATTTGACAGAGATCTCCCAGGGAAAGGTGGGTGTAAAGTATCATGCTCATCCAAAGACAGCTCCCGAAGCAAGAAAAGATCAGTTTTGTCCCCCCCCCACCACCACCGCCGCTGCCACCGTGCCCCCTCCCCCAAAAGCTAACTCTTGACATTTTCCAATGCCTTTAACAAGGTCTGAACGAACTAAATAGACTTTTTTTTTAAAAAACGTACTTTGGCTTTAGTGTATGTTTTCATTTGCCTTTTTTATAAACAAAGTACATTTGTCAGCAAATCAAGTTACGCAGTTGCGGTCAGGCCTGCTGAGTTTCTATAGCATTGTTTCTTTTTTGGGTTACATAGTGGTCTTTCAGCTATCAGGAAGCACCACTTTATGTGAATATGTAGGGCAAATGCCCTGGGATTTGACTTACTGGGATTTTACTGTGACAGGAAGCACCATTAAAAAAATAAACTATAGGTATTATCCAACGTGGAGTTTAAAAACAAGGAGGAGAATCGAGAAACTAGCAACCTTCACCATGTTAAAGAAAGAAAAAGGATGGAAAGTGGATAGAAGAATTTTGCATGCTTTGTGAAGTATCCTCCACCAGCCACCGTGCAAAATCTTTTATCTAATTCACAGCTAAAAAAAATTCTGATCTTAAGATCATGCCACTCAGTATTTTTAAAATCGAGAAAATGTCAAGTAATCTGCTGTCACTTGACAGCAAGTCACTCTCTGACCCCTAAATAATTTCCTACAACTTCTACAGTGTCAAAAAGGAACCAGTAGAAAAAGTGTTCTAGAATAAAATGCATTAACTGAGGAGCATTTCCAATAACAACTAAAAATTCCTAAGCCTGTCCAAAATCCACAAGATATTCCCCGCTCGCACCCCCCCCACACTCCCAACCCCGACCCCCACCATGATAACAGATGGTCTACTGGATCCCTTCTGCCACTTGTTTTTTGTTCATTCACAGGATGCAAAAGTTGCTACTAAGACCATCACTTATAGGCCATGCTTAATTGCTCAAGCAGACACAGGTGACTCTGTCTTGAACCACTGTAGTTCAAGTAATGAAGTACTCCCAGAATGCTGCTAAACAAGGAATTCTATGATTTTGGCCCAAATGATGAGGGATTGGTTATACTTTTCCAAATTAGGATGGCGAGGCTTAGGGGAGAGCTGCTGCAGTATACCTTGTGGGAATCAAAATTAAGCATCAGTTAACAAGGTAACTGGGAGATTACAGGTGACTAAAACAGCATGGATAATGACACCTAAAATCATTGTTAAAAATTGATGGTGGAAGACTGATAAGCAATCAGCCTACATTTTATTCATCCTCCTTTTGGGAACAGGAGGAAGGGCATTTTTAAAAAAATCTCTGAGGTGGATGCCAGCGTTGTAGCTACATTGGACTAACTTGATTGGAAGCGTAGCTAGTTCTGGAATACAAGTCTTTAGCACTACAATCAGGACCCATGATATTGTGTTGTTTTTGGTTACAGGTCAACAGGCCAGAAAATCAGTGGTGCAATTTGCTTTTCTGATTTTTGGATACAAGAGATTTCTCTATCACATCCACAGTAATGATCTAAACCTAAAAATATGATGGGGTCCAGGACCCATCCAGTGGAATGCACATTATCTGTGTCCTGCCAAGCTTGCATTAGGTTGAACAAGGAGAGAAAGGATGTAGTATGTGTGTCCTGCCTGAAGGGCAAGTTCTTGGCTTATTGTCCGATTCTTCGTCCCAAAACTCAGCAGTTTCTTCATCAGTGATGGTTTGTTATTAACATCCTTTCAAGGGAAGGCCAAGCATATAGATCGAGTACATAAGCTTCTGTCTCTTTTGTGCCAATGAAGGGAAGAAAGCAGTTAGAGAAAAAAAAATCAGGCCCTTCAATTATCTGGAGATTGAAAACTTGCAGAGTGCTAAGAAGGTTACTGTGAGGAATAAAAATCTTTTCTTCTTTTGTTAGAGGGAAGGATTAACTTTTAATGTTAACCAGGAAGCTATATCTGACCTTAAAGTCTTTGGATGTCAATGTATTTTAATTACTGTCTCAAATAGCCATTTGGTAACATAGAACTCGAGTATAGATGAAAAAACATTTTGTTGAAGTTTTTGTCTTACACTTATCAGAACAATTTGCAAGAATAACAATACAAGAAAAAGCCAACAGTTTCACTGCAAGAACATATATACACACAAATTGCACCTGCTCCAACTCAACAGAAAAGGTGGCAGTCAGTCACAGGTTCATTTGAGGGCAATGCCCTGAACAGAGTGGACCTGCTCTGTTCAACATTTAAATAAAATCTGGCAGCTAACTTTCAATCATTAGTTGGTGCCTCCTTCATAACACCACAACTATCAGTACTCCCCTCTCACGCATCACAGCCTCAAAAAGTTCAATCCACATTATTATGGACCAGAATGAACCCTCTCAAAATATATTAAGATAGCCTAGACCCCCAACTTTTTCTTATTTAAAGGCAAGTGCCAGGCTGTGTTCCAGATGCAATTTGATTGGTTCAACTACCAGTCTTGAAGCATAACACATTTTATTCATATACTATAATTAAAATACTACAAAAGGAAGAAGGAATTGGAATAAATTAACTCTATTGGAAAATTTAACAGAATAATAGATTATTTAACTATGAAACAGTATCTATTCTGATATAGTAACATCCTATAAACACACCTTTAGCAAAGGCAAATTCAGTAAAAGAGAGATTGTCTCACATGTAATTCTCAAGTCCAGGAGGAAAAGTATCAAGAGAAAACTCAGAGAGAGTGTATCAGGGAGAGATGTACTACAGCTTCAAAACCCAGCTTCAAGACCCCAGGAGCAGCTGCTACTGAAAAAGTAAAACTAAAAATCCTGGCTCTGGGGAACTTGACCCCATCCATTCAGGCTGGCTCTATTGTTCCATCTTCTCAAAAAAAAAATCCAAGGCCTCGCAAGCTGTTTACTTTATTGGCTTTGAAGCAGACAACCCACCACCTCTGTCGCAGCCTTACTTCATAAACCAAAAAGGACAAAATACTCATCTTAGAGCCATAGTATCGTCACAATGTTCAAAGTAAACTTGTAATTCTCTCTTCATCCATCTTGCTTGTGGGATCTACACCTACCAGGAACCAGATTACAGTCACCCAGATTAACTTCATTGACCATCACAGTTAATGCTACGAGACCTTGATTAAGTTATTGGTGTCACATCCCTGGGAGGTGAATGCACAACATGCCAATGCATTCAACTACGTCTTAATGAAATGTTGGGACAAAGTTAAGAGTGCAACTTAGAAAGAGGGCAACTGAAACATCTGTTATGTTACTAATATTTCAGCAGTACATCAATGTAAATGTGGATTCATTATTGCAAGTACAATATGACAAAAACAAATAAGTACAGATGTGATTTCAAATAGTATTGGAGATATTTTCCTGAAATTATCTGGATGAATGCAAAAGTTTCATGAGCAATTTGCTCTATATTTGGTTAGAATAATGTAATTAAAAAGATGACAAAATTAACAACAAAACAAAAAGGACAACTATTGTAAATTTGCTGGTGTAGTTCTTTACAAGTGTTATTTAAAAAGTTGATAGACAGCAATTTATTAGATTATAAAACAGTTTTTATAGCCAATAACCAACTTAATTCAAAAAAGGCAGTGCAATGACCTCAAGGTACAACTTTTAATTTAAGAATGATTTTACAATGGGCTTTCTGAACATGCAACAAGCTAGTATGCTGAAAAAGCACAAGAATAACTGCACAATGCTTGGAATGCAAAATCACATCATACATTGTAAGAAGAGATTGAAGGTATAGTCACACTACAATTGCAACACTCCCTGGCTGATTCTATATATATATATATTCAACCATTGAGCTATGACTTAAAATGTCACAGTGATAGCCATCTTCACACTTCCAAGATAAGGTAACTTAAAAAAAACACTATTTCCAACACACATACAAAACGACAAGAAATGGTACCAGTTAGGAAAGGCAGCTAGGCAGTAAAATACAGTTCAGTGCCTTAGATTGACAAATGTTGCAATACTGGCCATCGTATGTGATCAAGTTTAATCAAAATAAATTAAATACATAGAATAGAATTGAAGGAATGCTCAAGAAGAAAATCAATTGCAAGGATGTTGGAGTTGATTAAAATGTTGTACTGAGATTTCATATACAATAGCAACATTTAAG